GTCCCCTGTCGGGCGGTCTTGTGTGGGTGGCTCTGATGGCCGTCGCTCAAATGTCGGGGCGCTCAAGTGTCGGCGCTCAAATGTCGGCGCTCAAATGTCGGGCGCTCAAACGTCGGTTAATCCGTCAGCACAGAAAAAAATTTGCAAAACATTCTGAGAATCAATAGGAAGTGGTTGAACTTGATTCCATCGAAGTGTCTGACCGCTAGAAATTTAGAGTCTCATTACTGCAAAAGATAATCAACATCAATTTTGTAGAGAATTAAATTGCACATCTTTTGAAAACAGATTGAATAATCTATGTTTTATCTAGACTGAAATATTCGAAAAACATAAGATGTTGCAAAACTTCTGTGACAGTCGGTAGAAGCTATTTTTTGAGACCTGTTTTTTTATGTAGCTTTTTGTTCTTTAATGAATTGTTTTTCACAGACTTTCTTTTACAAATAAATGTTAGTAGTCAACATTGTTTACTTTGAATTATTGTACATTTTGATTTCTTTAACAAGGCGAAAACCTTCTTTGTTTCTGACGTATTGGGATAACACAGAATCCACAGCAGAAAATATATGTTAGTAGTTTATGTATGATGTTTCCCGTAACCATCCTTGTGAAAAGGTAAAACGTACACCGTATTCCTCCCTGATTACGTTCTTTAATTAAATACCTTAGAAAAACGAATGTGCGCTTCTTTATCAAAGTTGGTTATCTCTTTATTGTCGTTAATTCAATTATAATATAAATTTGAGTTTTCAAGTTTTAATGAGTAAATACTCTCCAAAATAGTTAAATAATCTAGACATTTTCGAATTGTCTTAAAAACCCTGGTAATATTCTTGTTCAGGAGTATAAAATGGTATTGTCTTGCCCGCACTTAGTCTGATTTCATCAATTAGTCGACACCAGTTTGATGATAATGTTCCTGCATGCATATCGGCGTTACTTTCAATATAAAGATCAGTGAGAAAAGCAAGAGATATTTGTGACTGTCGTTCGGGTGATTCTTCTAACCAACTAGAAAAAGTGTAACCACGAGTTTGATTCAGATAAAATAAACGATAATAACGGACAAGATGCTGATTTTTATGAAATTCGTTAAAAACATCATCATCTTCTGAATTTAGATATAAATTTCGAACGGAAGCTCGTCTGGCATCACTATCGAATAGATCAAAGTAGCTCTCTAAAGTATAACTTTTCTTCATCTCTCCAGTTGCTACTTTATCTGAACGGCGAATGAAGAGCGCGATCAATGGTCTAGAATGCTCTATACCTTGAGGAAATATCTCGTGAGAAACTCGTTTAACATGTTCCATCACTCGCTTATTGAAACGTGTCACGTAAAAGGCTAATTGTGCACGCCACCAGTTGAAACTTTGATTAGAAAATGGTTCAGGCGGTACAGTTGATCCATAATGTCCATAGTTTCCACTGATCTCAATTATTCGATTTCCATGGGACATTCGTGTAAAACATCCGATATCATGGAAGAGGAGCAAAATAGTATCGGATGTGTACTACAGACGCTCCATAAGCGGTATGAAATGACGAATATGCAGTGCAAAGATGCAGTTTTTGATGGTTAATTTTAGCTGAATGACCCTGATCAATCTCGCCTGATGATTTACAATTTGAAACTGGAATAAAAAAACAGTTAGGATTTTTCTCATCACAATCAGCCCACATCCAATTTCCTGGTGTGGCGTAGACAAATATTCTGTTATCCTCTAACACTTTAGCAATAGTCCACACAATTTGATGTATAGATGAGCCCATTCCAGACCATGCATAATTATTTATAACAGCGATGCGTGCTGTTGAGCAGTCAGCTGGATTTTGATGATTGTAAAGCCACTCTTGAGCGGATAATGTTGATTGAACAGAAAAAAAGTCAGACGAACATGTATTTAAAATATCTATTTTTGCCGAATTATTTTCCGCACTACGTGCATACGAAATATTTTTACATGGAATAATGTTTGCAATTTTTAAATAAATTTCATCAGCTAGATTTACCGAAGATGTTATCCTTAAAGTCTCATGTTCTTTCACTGTTGTTGTTTTTATTTTAATACTATATTTGTATGTAAATCTGATAATAACCACTATTAAAAAGATTAAATATACAACACAGAAAACTTTTCGATTACGACGGAGTAATATGCATATTTTCATCCTTATCCATTTGTACCTAAACATTGCAAAATCAAACGATTTATATTGAACTAATTAAATTCGCAGCACCCTATTAGAATGTCAACATAATAGTTATTCTACCTTTGCATTTTTTTGTTAGCTTTTCGGTACACTTGTTTCAAATAGATAAATTCAGTTCACTTTTTCGTTCTGAGAAGAAAAAAACTACATCTGTTGTAACCTTCACTAACTTTCACTAACAAAAGTCTCAATATTTACGCAAATTCCAGTTCAAAAAAAGTCACTTTGATGCCCCAAACAATACATATGATTTTTTTCCGGCACGGCACGACATGGCCTGGTAGTTATGTTGTTCGTTAAATACTTCAAAGATACAGTGTCAATGTAATATATTGGGCAAGCTACTTATGTCTTAGTACTTCAGCATTATATGCTTGGCTAGCCTTCTGACAAGAGCTACAGTTCATGGCACAATAAACCCTTCGTAGCGATATGAGGTGTGACTACAATATACACTTCGATAACTAAGATCATTTACTTGGAAGAAACATGTCTTGATAGCTCAGTGAGAGAGCATTGGTCTTGCTAACTGATTGATGTCCTAGGTTCGACTCCCCCGTTGAGACATGCTTTTTCAAGATATTGTTTATCGAGAGTTTAGTCGCTAAAAAACTTTCTTAACTTTCATAGAAAAGGTGCTTTATAAACTTAATTTATATATACCTGCAAACCTACGTCTCACGAAGTTAATTATTCTTGAAATAGCAACATACGGTCTCGCTTGGAACATTAACCTTAAAAAACTGATCAAGCATAACTTTCCATATTTATACATGCTATGAAATACATAAAGTATAAACTCAGAATTTTATTATTTATTATTTATTTATGCTTCTCTTTTCGATTCATTATGTACTCCTTACTCTTTTGAATTTCTTAAACGTAAACAAAGGAAAAGCTAAACTGGCGTATAATATATTAAACAGCGTTTTGCATAAGGGAAGCCACCAAAATTACAATCGAATCAATTGGAGCAAACGAATCATTCGTAGCAAATATAAAGCGCTCCTGTGATGTTTGTATAAGAGAGAAAATATATAAAATTTAATATATAAAAAATATATAAAAAAAAGTATAACATATCAAAGAACACATTAATATTCATTTTAGGTAATATATATATACTCTCTTTGGCCTTATCATTAACTAATATGTATAATTTTGATAATTGTAATATTCCTCCTATCTTGGCTCATATAGAAGTGAACATAGAAAGCAAAAAAAGAACAAATTCTATATTTTATATGCTCAATCAATTATTGATGAGCGAAGAAGGAAGGAAGAGCAAAAAGATGGCTTTTTTTGAAGCTGGAACGTGAACTGAGTTCAGCTATAGCGAAGGAACACGGAGATCCTGAGTAAAAATCACGGTTGCCTTAGTGAGATCTTTTCGAGGAACGAAACTCCTTTTGTTACATAAAATAACATAATATAATACATAAAATAAACTCTCGATAAACAATATCTTGAAAAAGCATGTCTCAACGGGGGAGTCGAGCCCAGGACATCAATCAGTTAGCAAGACCAATGCTCTCTCACTGAGCTATCAAGACATGTTTCTTCCAAGTAAATGATCTTAGTTATCGAAGTGTATATTGTAGTCACACCTCATATCGCTACGAACGGTTTATTGTGCCTTTGTTCATCGCTAGGTGAAAATCAAATTAAATTTGAGAGTGAAGAAGGTCTTTTACTATGAAAGTTATGAAAACATACTTTTTCGATAAACGGATGTTTGTTTATCGAAACTTTAGTCGCTAAAAAACTATGTTTTCGTAACTTTCAGAGCAAAAGTCCTTGTTACTCTCAAATTGAGCATCTTTTCTTTTGTTTCTTTTTGTATTTGTTGTAGGCAAACTTGGAATCCAGGCAAATTCCGAATTTGCCTAGGCAAAATTAGAATTAGAGTGGGAAAAACAGAGATCACGCCTAACGAAGTCACGAAATTGATGATATATGCTAAAATCATGCTCTTAGCTTCTCCTGTTGGATAATGAATCATTTTGCTGAACAGGATACTTATCCACTTCACCGCGTAAAGGTGGCATGATTTTTATAGAAGAAAAGTCATATTATCCACAACAAATTCAAAAAAAGTTTACTTATTCATAACAGCAGAAAGCAAATCATCATATTTACAATTAATTTGTATTGAAGAACATTTTTTTTGAGCAAAAGCTTTTACACTATGTACACTTTAATACACATGACACATTATTCTCCCATATTCTGACAAGCTCCTCGCTTTGAATAACATTTTGTCGAACATGATAAATTAGCTTTTTTACATGGACAGTGCTTTGTGGCACATTTTGATTTACAATCACATGTGCTTCCGCTCGCTGCCCCACGTACATAAAGTTTACATGCTTCGATAAATGAAATATCGTTTAATTCATCAACATGAAGTTGTTTTAATTCTTGTGGACAAGCTGCTCTTAAATCTATTTACGATTATTAAGGATTATTTAAATAAACATAACCACTAAACTTTTTTTTTTTAAACTAAACATCCTAATAACGTAATTCAAATAGAAATAATTTACTCGATTGCCTTCAAGACGTTGATTCACTTTTAAAATGCTCTAATATCGACTTTGCTTGTTCATCTTCCACTGTATCTCATACACAATCTGTAATAAGTATTTTAGATGAAATTACCTCTTCTACTTTTCTTTCATGGTCAGGTATAGATGCTGTAGCTTTTCAGCCGAACACTTCTTCTTTTGATTCTGATTTTTCTACAACGCAAGCTTCATCTAGTAATTCATTACCACTTTCAACCAACACTGATATTTTTGCATGTTCTTCTAATTCATCGCGTCATGATCTTATACGTAAAACTGCTACCGATAGTTACTTAAATACCGCACATAAAAAAGGTTAAATTGCGTCATGTTTATTTAAATAATCCTTAATAATCGTAAATAGATTTAAGAGCAGCTTGTCCACAAGAATTAAAACAACTTCATGTTGATGAATTAAACGATATTTCATTTATCGAAGCATGTAAACTTTATGTACGTGGGGCAGCGAGCGGAAGCACATGTGATTGTAAATCAAAATGTGCCACAAAGCACTGTCCATGTAAAAAAGCTAATTTATCATGTTCGACAAAATGTTATTCAAAGCGAGGAGCTTGTCAGAATATGGGAGAATAATGTGTCATGTGTATTAAAGTGTACATAGTGTAAAAGCTTTTGCTCAAAAAAAATGTTCTTCAATACAAATTAATTGTAAATATGATGATTTGCTTTCTGCTGTTATGAATAAGTAAACTTTTTTTGAATTTGTTGTGGATAATATGACTTTTCTTCTATAAAAATCATGCCACCTTTACGCGGTGAAGTGGATAAGTATCCTGTTCAGCAAAATGATTCATTATCCAACAGGAGAAGCTAAGAGCATGATTTTAGCATATATCATCAATTTCGTGACTTCGTTAGGCGTGATCTCTGTTTTTCCCACTCTAATTCTAATTTTGCCTAGGCAAATTCGGAATTTGCCTGGATTCCAAGTTTGCCTACAACAAATACAAAAAGAAACAAAAGAAAAGATGCTCAATTTGAGAGTAACAAGGACTTTTGCTCTGAAAGTTACGAAAACATAGTTTTTTAGCGACTAAAGTTTCGATAAACAAACATCCGTTTATCGAAAAAGTATGTTTTCATAACTTTCATAGTAAAAGACCTTCTTCACTCTCAAATTTAATTTGATTTTCACCTAGCGATGAACAAAGGCACAATAAACCGTTCGTAGCGATATGAGGTGTGACTACAATATACACTTCGATAACTAAGATCATTTACTTGGAAGAAACATGTCTTGATAGCTCAGTGAGAGAGCATTGGTCTTGCTAACTGATTGATGTCCTGGGCTCGACTCCCCCGTTGAGACATGCTTTTTCAAGATATTGTTTATCGAGAGTTTATTTTATGTATTATATTATGTTATTTTATGTAACAAAAGGAGTTTCGTTCCTCGAAAAGATCTCACTAAGGCAACCGTGATTTTTACTCAGGATCTCCGTGTTCCTTCGCTATAGCTGAACTCAGTTCACGTTCCAGCTTCAAAAAAAGCCATCTTTTTGCTCTTCCTTCCTTCTTCGCTCATCAATAATTGATTGAGCATATAAAATATAGAATTTGTTCTTTTTTTGCTTTCTATGTTCACTTCTATATGAGCCAAGATAGGAGGAATATTACAATTATCAAAATTATACATATTAGTTAATGATAAGGCCAAAGAGAGTATATATATATTACCTAAAATGAATATTAATGTGTTCTTTGATATGTTATACTTTTTTTTATATATTTTTTATATATTAAATTTTATATATTTTCTCTCTTATACAAACATCACAGGAGCGCTTTATATTTGCTACGAATGATTCGTTTGCTCCAATTGATTCGATTGTAATTTTGGTGGCTTCCCTTATGCAAAACGCTGTTTAATATATTATACGCCAGTTTAGCTTTTCCTTTGTTTACGTTTAAGAAATTCAAAAGAGTAAGGAGTACATAATGAATCGAAAAGAGAAGCATAAATAAATAATAAATAATAAAATTCTGAGTTTATACTTTATGTATTTCATAGCATGTATAAATATGGAAAGTTATGCTTGATCAGTTTTTTAAGGTTAATGTTCCAAGCGAGACCGTATGTTGCTATTTCAAGAATAATTAACTTCGTGAGACGTAGGTTTGCAGGTATATATAAATTAAGTTTATAAAGCACCTTTTCTATGAAAGTTAAGAAAGTTTTTTAGCGACTAAACTCTCGATAAACAATATCTTGAAAAAGCATGTCTCAACGGGGGAGTCGAACCTAGGACATCAATCAGTTAGCAAGACCAATGCTCTCTCACTGAGCTATCAAGACATGTTTCTTCCAAGTAAATGATCTTAGTTATCGAAGTGTATATTGTAGTCACACCTCATATCGCTACGAAGGGTTTATTGTGCCATGAACTGTAGCTCTTGTCAGAAGGCTAGCCAAGCATATAATGCTGAAGTACTAAGACATAAGTAGCTTGCCCAATATATTACATTGACACTGTATCTTTGAAGTATTTAACGAACAACATAACTACCAGGCCATGTCGTGCCGTGCCGGAAAAAAATCATATGTATTGTTTGGGGCATCAAAGTGACTTTTTTTGAACTGGAATTTGCGTAAATATTGAGACTTTTGTTAGTGAAAGTTAGTGAAGGTTACAACAGATGTAGTTTTTTTCTTCTCAGAACGAAAAAGTGAACTGAATTTATCTATTTGAAACAAGTGTACCGAAAAGCTAACAAAAAAATGCAAAGGTAGAATAACTATTATGTTGACATTCTAATAGGGTGCTGCGAATTTAATTAGTTCAATATAAATCGTTTGATTTTGCAATGTTTAGGTACAAATGGATAAGGATGAAAATATGCATATTACTCCGTCGTAATCGAAAAGTTTTCTGTGTTGTATATTTAATCTTTTTAATAGTGGTTATTATCAGATTTACATACAAATATAGTATTAAAATAAAAACAACAACAGTGAAAGAACATGAGACTTTAAGGATAACATCTTCGGTAAATCTAGCTGATGAAATTTATTTAAAAATTGCAAACATTATTCCATGTAAAAATATTTCGTATGCACGTAGTGCGGAAAATAATTCGGCAAAAATAGATATTTTAAATACATGTTCGTCTGACTTTTTTTCTGTTCAATCAACATTATCCGCTCAAGAGTGGCTTTACAATCATCAAAATCCAGCTGACTGCTCAACAGCACGCATCGCTGTTATAAATAATTATGCATGGTCTGGAATGGGCTCATCTATACATCAAATTGTGTGGACTATTGCTAAAGTGTTAGAGGATAACAGAATATTTGTCTACGCCACACCAGGAAATTGGATGTGGGCTGATTGTGATGAGAAAAATCCTAACTGTTTTTTTATTCCAGTTTCAAATTGTAAATCATCAGGCGAGATTGATCAGGGTCATTCAGCTAAAATTAACCATCAAAAACTGCATCTTTGCACTGCATATTCGTCATTTCATACCGCTTATGGAGCGTCTGTAGTACACATCCGATACTATTTTGCTCCTCTTCCATGATATCGGATGTTTTACACGAATGTCCCATGGAAATCGAATAATTGAGATCAGTGGAAACTATGGACATTATGGATCAACTGTACCGCCTGAACCATTTTCTAATCAAAGTTTCAACTGGTGGCGTGCACAATTAGCCTTTTACGTGACACGTTTCAATAAGCGAGTGATGGAACATGTTAAACGAGTTTCTCACGAGATATTTCCTCAAGGTATAGAGCATTCTAGACCATTGATCGCGCTCTTCATTCGCCGTTCAGATAAAGTAGCAACTGGAGAGATGAAGAAAAGTTATACTTTAGAGAGCTACTTTGATCTATTCGATAGTGATGCCAGACGAGCTTCCGTTCGAAATTTATATCTAAATTCAGAAGATGATGATGTTTTTAACGAATTTCATAAAAATCAGCATCTTGTCCGTTATTATCGTTTATTTTATCTGAATCAAACTCGTGGTTACACTTTTTCTAGTTGGTTAGAAGAATCACCCGAACGACAGTCACAAATATCTCTTGCTTTTCTCACTGATCTTTATATTGAAAGTAACGCCGATATGCATGCAGGAACATTATCATCAAACTGGTGTCGACTAATTGATGAAATCAGACTAAGTGCGGGCAAGACAATACCATTTTATACTCCTGAACAAGAATATTACCAGGGTTTTTAAGACAATTCGAAAATGTCTAGATTATTTAACTATTTTGGAGAGTATTTACTCATTAAAACTTGAAAACTCAAATTTATATTATAATTGAATTAACGACAATAAAGAGATAACCAACTTTGATAAAGAAGCGCACATTCGTTTTTCTAAGGTATTTAATTAAAGAACGTAATCAGGGAGGAATACGGTGTACGTTTTACCTTTTCACAAGGATGGTTACGGGAAACATCATACATAAACTACTAACATATATTTTCTGCTGTGGATTCTGTGTTATCCCAATACGTCAGAAACAAAGAAGGTTTTCGCCTTGTTAAAGAAATCAAAATGTACAATAATTCAAAGTAAACAATGTTGACTACTAACATTTATTTGTAAAAGAAAGTCTGTGAAAAACAATTCATTAAAGAACAAAAAGCTACATAAAAAAACAGGTCTCAAAAAATAGCTTCTACCGACTGTCACAGAAGTTTTGCAACATCTTATGTTTTTCGAATATTTCAGTCTAGATAAAACATAGATTATTCAATCTGTTTTCAAAAGATGTGCAATTTAATTCTCTACAAAATTGATGTTGATTATCTTTTGCAGTAATGAGACTCTAAATTTCTAGCGGTCAGACACTTCGATGGAATCAAGTTCAACCACTTCCTATTGATTCTCAGAATGTTTTGCAAATTTTTTTCTGTGCTGACGGATTAACCGACGTTTGAGCGCCCGACATTTGAGCGCCGACATTTGAGCGCCGACACTTGAGCGCCCCGACATTTGAGCGACGGCCATCAGAGCCACCCACACAAGACCGCCCGACAGGGGAC